TATTAAATATTTACCATAGGTGTCTCATGGCTTTGCCTCTGACACTTTCCCTTTCAGTAGAGAAAAGAATTATTTAGCTCATGATTTTCCAGTAAAAGACAGTCAGTTGTGGCTGTCTGGAAGCGAATGGCATCACTGGCATGCCCTGGGAGGGGGAGGTTTTGTCAAAGCACACCAGGCAGGGAAGGTCTCCACCTCCTCTGCTCCTCTCCAGCACAGAGTGACGCCAAAGCAGAGTCTTAGAGTGACACAGGAATGTTTGTGCCAGCAGAATGAGGTGCACTCATGTTACAGCACTTTCCAAAACCAAGCCAGTACATTTGGTGAATCCTTTCCAAGGAGGCTGATCAGATTACTTAAGATCAAATGAATGTTGTGGATGCTCCAGTGAAACATGTTGACAAATAATACTGCTCCCTTGTGCATTGCATTTACTGTGCATTTAAAAGAGAAACCTATTTTTATGAAATAAAAATAAATTTTGCATGCATTTTGGTTTTCATCCCCTGTGAACTGAATACTGCAGGACAAAAAGTTTGTGGCCTAATATCTGTGGGGCAGCCAGACAGTTAAAGATGAACTTTGACTGGCCCAGAATTAAAATGCCTGAGGGCAGCTGTGTAGCTCAAGTAACTGATTAGAAACTGATACTGGAAAATGATGGAGAACTCAACTCCAGGAGGTCACAAAACGACTATAAGCAAGGTAATGTCTTTTTCCACCATGATCCAGGCCATTCTAGAGTATGGTCATGGCCTTCCATAGCATGGTCTAGAAGAACTAACACCAACACCCCACTCAGTACACCTGGAAGAATGCACATGTACCTAATATTTTAGAATAATTAGAATAATATATCTAATGTTTTCGAATATCAGTCTGGTTTGCCTGGATACTATTGTGCCTCATGGAGTTCTACTGGGTGCACTGTGCCAAAGACATTTCTTTCCTTCTCCCCTCACTCCTGCTGTCTTTCCTTCAGCAAAAAAAGAATTCACTCCCTAGACATATTTCGTCCTCTAAACTGAAGGAAGCAGAGCCAGTCTTTAATCACTGGATCACAGGTCTCTTTCTTCAGGAATGGTCCAAATACTGACACTTGCCTGTCTTCATCCTTTATCTTTCCCAGAGCAGCACAGGGAGGCATGTTGCAGGCTCTGGAGAAATAGGCAACCAGACAATGCAGTGTTGCACTCAAGCCACTAACAAGTTCTGGCTGCCTGATCAAACCTCTGGCATAGCTGGCGAGACTTCCAGGCTAATTTTGTGGTTTCATGTGAAAACACTGCATGGGTGAGGTGGTAAGAACAAATTTAACAGGGAGCTTAGGGAAGGAAGCTGTCAGAAAAAACTTAACATCCACAAATTCCTGAACCCATAATGGGATATCTACATGAGCGAAACACGGAGAACTCCATTCAGGCCAGCACTGAGCACTTAGCACTCACTGGAGATCTATGTTAGTGTGCTTTGAACAGTGCAGACTGATGGTACTCGAAATAAAACTAAGTTAGTACAGCCAGGGAAGCAGAGACTTGTTGGTCTTGCAGTTTGATGTCCTGCACAAGTGCTGACACCATCTACAGATTATCTTGACAACCAAATAAAAAAAATAAACAGTTTCCCACCCTGAAAAAAACCCACTAGGAACTGAATTGTGATAATAAAAGTGAGTAGTAGCAAACACTGTCTGAGCTGTCAGGTTACAAACAATGCTCATGAAACCTTCGTGGCCAGGATCAATAAAAGAAAAGGCCATTGCTCTTGAGAGCCAAGAACCATTAGAAAAATAAAAAGCTTTCTATCTCAGAGCATTTATGTCTAGATTTCATGTTCCACTCTTTCTTCCCTGGATTAAGCAAGCAAGTTCACTCCTAAGTTCCAGTGCTGCAACAACAAAACCAAGCCACAGATTGCCTGGGAAGGCCTTCCATGACCTTGAAGCCTATTCTGTAGAGCAACGTGACTACTTCATGTAAATGTCCAATATCATCACAATTTAGGGCTTAAGTTTTCTTATCACAACAATCAATTTCCTAATGCACATATGTGCCTTTTCCATTTGAACGGATTTCCAGTGTTTGCAAATTTTTATACAAATAAGATAAGTGAGCATTTCCATCTCTGTGCTCTTTATGGCAACTCTTGTTGTTTTTCCATAGTAGAACACTCCACTCCAGTTTCGTCCTGCAAGCCATATCTAAAAATGTCGCAGTGATCTCTCAGCACAGTCATGTTCCTGTTAACCAAGTCCCAGGAGATTCTGCCTTTCTTCTGTTTTGTTCTTATTTGGTTGAAAGTTACTGTCCCTTGTCACTGCTACCATATTTTTCATGTTAACTGTTATTCTTCTCACCAATACAATACTTGTAAATTTATTTTTTTTTAAAATATATTACATTGTGAATTTTGGGAAGGTGACTAAATTGACAGAATCTTTTCATCCCTAAGTAAATTAACCCATTTGTATCCAGGAAAAAAGTGATTTCTCAAGATATAAGTTCCTGAATATTGTGGAGGTGCCTTTTGTTCAAGTCTTTGGGATAGTGGATCTTTAATAGGGTTCCATGCACATGTCAGTTGGTTGAGATCACATGCTGATAAGTTTTAGCTTGTATAAATACTGAACTGTGCAGAGCAAAAGCCAGCTTAATGCCTCTGAGTACAACTCTTTGAATAGCCCCTAATCATCTAAGAAAAAAACATTGTTGAAAAAATAAATTACTTTTCAGTTCTTGTCACTACTTTTTCCCACATAACTCTAGTGAGGCTGAATGGGTCACCAAGATGAACTAAGAGCTCACACCATAAAGCAGCTGAAGACAAGATTCTATGAGTTGTGTAAGTTCAGAGCAAAAATATGACCTATGAAAGTTCTCCCTTGTTAAAAAAGCACATTTCTGACCTATTTGTGCTTACTAGTATTTCATTTTACTTTACATCATTTTTCTTCTTTTCAAAATGAATTTTTAGTCATCTACATCTATTATCTAGGCAAGCATATTTCAGTCTGTGGAGCACTCCATTACTGCTTTCTTTGGCTGGTCATTATCCATATAACTCGACTATCTGAATTCTATACTATTGTTTTGGAATCAAGAAACAGGCCAAGGCTTAAAAAATTAGAAGAAACAATAAATAGAGCATGAAAGCAATTAATAATGGTACTTCTACTAGTTTTCTTTTTTTTTTTTTCCTTTTAGTCACACTTTTGGAAACCCTTCTTCTGTGTGGAAGGAGAGCTTTTGGTTTGCAGGTTTAAATGCCAGGCCAATAGAGGCACACACTGGACCACTTTTTCAGATCCACTATTGGGGAAAATTAATTCCAAGTATGCAACAACTTAAAGCATAATAAGAAACATTTTCTCTCAATGTAAAAACACAAGGATCCAACAGAAAAGTAGACAGAAGTCCTAAAATAATCAGAAAGGATTTTCTTTAACTTTCAAATACAAAATAATCCAGAACAAAGTAAATTTTTATGAAGAAGTTATTTTACATATATTCATAATAAAACAAGCATGCACTAGAGTGGAGAAAAAGAGAAGCTGGAGTTGGCCATAGAAATGAGAATTCAACTACACAAATCAAGATAGTGCCCCATCTTCCCTCAACAGCTCTGGAAGACTGTTTTCTTCTGGCTTCTGATATAATGCCCATTTCAGCACATTTAGGATTAGGCTACTGGTTTCTTTTGACTACTTGGTTTCTCATTAATCTTCCCTAAGCACACATGAGGCACACGTGCACACCATAGGAGGTGTCAGAAATTATTCCATGCATCCTCCTCCCTCCCCTGCATTCACAGAAACAGGCAGACCACACTGAGGAAAATCTTAAACCTGCAACAACTGAAAATCTCAAGTGCTTTAATTTAAACTCTTTTCCAGAAAATACAGTTCTACATTTCCAGGAAATATGTAAGTCTCCCCAGTGTTTTCACAGAAGCTGACATATATGCTGCAGTTTTGTTAGCATCATCCTACATTTTGTACTGATTTTATACACTACCTGGGGCACTCCCTTAAAGACCAACTTGAAAGTTAAAGCCACGAGGGAAATTCAGGCATACATTTTGCTTTGGAATACACTGCTCTGTCTTGGAAAACTTAGCTAAAGATCTTATTCCCTTAGGTATTAGTCTGTTCATGATACTGATTAGCCCTACTGCACATTCCTGGATGAGATTTTTTGGTATATTCTAACTTGTACTTCCACATTACGAGCTTCTTTCTGTACCAGTCTTTGCCTGCCCTATGTAAAAATTATCTTCTCCACAATGCAATAAAATTAGCAGCTACTTTGCCTTCTATAATTATGAAGCTTTAAATATTTATGCATTTATTACAGAAATTCTCTTTGCAAGGTTATCTGACTTGAGAACAAGTTTCCTTGGAAGCAACATTAACCAGCAAAAGTTAAAAGACCTATTATCTGCTTTCTTAGTGGCAAGACAACTTCTATCACATCTCTATGAGAAAACCTGCCCTCACCATGTTCTACTGACTCCCTTTCCTGCACTTGGGCTACACCTTTCTCATTCTGACAGATGTAAAGAGGACACTTTAAAACTCTCAGGTGCCAGACCATCAGCACGAATTCTCAGCCTGCTGGGACTGTTCTTCCTGTGCATAGGTTCCTCCTATGCACCCATAACACTTATTTCACTGGTTGTTTCTAGAATGGTGGTTCATAAATGAACCAAACAAAACTGTGTTGTCCATATGGGAATAAACAAAAGAAACATCACTGTTGAATTTATTTAACAGAAGCTTGAGTGAATCTGGCATGACACGTGTATTCAATGGGCTAGATTCCAACATAACAACCATCCAATTTCTACAAGAATCAGAGCAGATTTTGGCTTTCCATCTCATATCTGTGTCATGAGCACTTCAAATAAATCTAACAGGCAGAGATAAAACACTTATAACTCTTAGTCACAAGTTTCATAGGATACCCTTAGGAATGCAAAGACTTTAACTTATATCAACATACTTTTGAAGAGTGAGGCTCAGGTTGTGGCTGGCTGATTTGATCTTGTTCTGGGCCTCAAGGTGGGTCATGCTGTCAGTGTTGACTCCATCAATGGCCACCACAAGGTCCCCCTGGTTCATCTGTGACTGTGCTGCCTTGCTGCCAGGGGTGATCTGTGCAGGAAAGCAAAAAAAGGTCTTATCAGGATAAGTTATTCTGTACACAAAACAGTTGGAGAACTCATCCTGAATTACAATACAGAATACATACAGCAACAAATACACTAATAGATACAACACTAGCTGTATCTAGTATTGTATGGGTGAAACAACAACATTTGTGGCAATTAAACAAATCAAAGTTAACTCACACTTCTGCAAAGGTCCAGGACAACATCTACTTGTCATTACTTCCATTTTGCCAGGTTAAGCCCAATGAAGTGGTTCCCTTACTACCTATTATCTCTCCCTCAAGGGGATAATTATCACTATTTAAATTACAGTAAAATACAGAGACTTTACTCAGAAGCAGAAAACTAATGAACTACTATCTACTGCATGATTTTATTGTATTTTTCCTCCTAAAAGCCATTTTCCCCAAATTAATTAATTTTATTGAGCAGACAGAAAATGATTGTGTGTGAGGGGCCTTGGGCATGCTTTGCTTCTTTTATAGCAAGCTTTATAGGATAACCTTACCTGCTACAACTATAGGATAACCTTACCTACATACAACTATAGGATAACCTTACCTACATACAACTATAGGATAACCTTACCTACATACAACTACAGCTCCATTATCAAGACAGATCACTACATCCTCAAGATGATCTCATCAGCTTGTTGGACCTCACACTCCAAAGACAGACTGGCACTGCTAGAAATAAAAAGCCACAATGCTTCAACTACAAACACAACCACTGACACAACAGTGCAGAATTCTGGTCATTCACTATGGTAACACATTTTGTCAGCTCCAGGTACCTTGTGAACTGCACCTTCTCCAAATGGACAGTGCCCTGACCTCAGCTCCACACAGCAGTCTCAGCTCCCATATGGATGACACCAATACAGCTACTTATGAAACTCGACTCCACTGGGGAACTCCAACTAAAACAGAAGAGCCTTCACACACCGTCAGCCAGACAAGTTTTAGTGAATACATTGGAGTTGTCCTCTGCTTTCAGCACTCAGAACTTTAAGCATATGGACAAAAGCTAGGCCTTTGCTCTTATTTTTAGAGACTCACTGCCTTACATTCCTCACTTCTAAGAAGGCTCAAGGATCTTCTGAAATACTACAACAAAGGCTGCATTCAAAAATTCTGTTCCTTCAGTACAGAGGACATAAAAGAAAGATGTGTTTGATTATGAGCCAAAATTCCCCTGTGAATTCAGCCAGGCTGAAACTGTGAAGTTAAATTCTTAGGGAAACAAAAACTCAACAAAAATTCAAACACTTCTAAGTGTGAAGTGGAATTCCTTAACTTCCCTTCCCTAATATGACCTCAAAACACTTATAAATATGTACACACTCAAAATGAAAAACTCCTTCCAAAACAATTCCCCAGACTGCTTATTTATGCTCTTCACTGGCAAAGAAAAATAAACAAAAGAAGGGAAAAACCCCAATCCTGCCTTCACATCCCATTAAAGGTGTTAAGTATTGAGGCTGGCAGTCTAATTTACAGTGTAGCCTGACAGTGGGAGCTGTCAATTTACTAGAACACAAGCTTTAGTATCAGGGAGCTAAAACACAGCACCCTGCTTACTCAGACATTACTTAAAACAAAGATTACTTTCAAGTTAGGCACTGTAAATAACATCCCAGAACTGATCTGACTGGAAGGGACAAGTTTTTATACCTTTTCATTAGAGACAGAAGCAATAAGAGTTCTATGTTTTCTGAGTGAAAGACAGCCACAGATATAATGTTCTCATGCAAGCAGAAGTGACTGATAACGGCAGCACCACCCCCCAAAGTATTTTTCTTGTGTTAGGGCACCAAGGGGTGGGAGGAATATTTTGTGGTAGTTTCAAAGATGGAGTTTTATTCTGTAGTCTAATACACCCTCATAGAAAGAGATTAATAGAAACAAGAGATTCATGTTACAAACATTGTTTTCCTAACCTATTATACAAACATTAGCTTCTATGCATTTTATTGACTTGCATTGTGCCAAGTACACAGAATCCAGAAGCCTACAAAGAATACAGATTATTTGCATACCCACATGTACTTGTACCTGCTCAGTCCTCCAAATATGTCAAGAAACAGAATTTGAAATAAAATAAGAGGTCAGGAAAGGGCAAAATATGAACTAATGCCAAACTCATTTGTCTGAGTCAGTAAGACTTGAATTCATCGAGTAGGACACTTCAGTCTTTCTCAAATTATCCTTTTTCTCTATTACATGAACTGTTTGCCAGTCAGGCAGACACTAAGGCTTGAGCCTGCTTGATAGAGCTTTTTTAATAAATAATCACCACACAACACTTTTCTAAGACTCTACCTTTTACTTGCTCATCAAATATGCAAGTTCTTGCCACAAAACATTAACTGTGTGATGCTGGTGTTTCCAGTAGCCAGACAGCTGGTTCCAAATTCTGGGACACCCCTCCCACACACACATACACACTTTCTCTCATCAAGAACAAAGACTGGTTTTTGTACATCAACCCAATTACTGAAAGTCCAATGTCTGCCCTAATATGGCAACTCCTACTTAACCCATATATTTCCCTTTCCACTCCCCAGTGATAGTTCAAACAAAATAAGCCCAGAGAAACAGAGTTTCCACAGAAAGGATAGAACAGTCTAGATCTGGCACTAGTTTAACACAGCTGTAACACACAGACTTCCCTCTCACTTTCTCTGACTTCTGCTTTTAGCAACCTCAAATGTAAATGTTATATCTTAGAGATACAGCAGGTAACTGCAACTGTCCTAGAATTACAGTCAATTTAGAGGGAGCAGATGGTTATAACTACTGACCTGATCTCACCTAATATAGTGCAATATTTTCTGCATAACACTTCTGGAAAACACTACCTAAATGAAAAAAATACATTCATCAGAAGAATCTCTTGAACATAAGTCCTCAGTAATTTTGAGCTTGTGATTTATAGGAATTTATAACTATAGCCATTGCAACACCCTTTCTGAGGCAAAGAGGTCCAGGAGAACCATACTGTGAGAGACAAGGAAAAGATCTCAATCTTGGCTTACCAGTCATTGTTCTTATATTTGAAAAGGAAAAGAAGGGGATTTGCAGTCATTTCTTCAACTAAGATTAATGGTAGCAAATTCTGGGCTTAAATTCAGCTTATCCTAACTTCATAGACAGCAAGACTCACAAGTATAAAAGATGGATCCAATTTATTGCATCAGTAATTCAGAAAAATAATAAGTATCAGGAAAGCATTACTTCTTCCCCCAGTATTTCCACTGCCTAAAAGCATGCTAGATTTTTTGGTCCTGTAGAGCTTTATACAGAAGGCACTATTAAGGACTGGATGCAGAATCTGTATAAAACATTCAAAAATCGAAGCACAAAATTATACCTATTTTAGTTACAAGCTGAGAGGCAGCTCTGAGAGAGTTTCAAGAGAAGCCACAGCATGCATTAACAGCAGACATTGAGAACAGTCTGTAATTGTTGGGGACAAAATACCAGCGTACAGATGGAGATATAGGGCAGCCAGATCTGAAGTGTCAAGGCACTTTCAAGACTATCTTGTTCCCATTTTTAAAGATCCAGCTGAAAGGAATGGAATGCAAAGTGTTTATCTTTTATCTGTCGGTATTTTCCTTTGAAAATTCATCTCTGATCTACTAAAATTTATTAAATATAATCACAAGCAGAGAAGAGTTCACTGTGTATTTGTGAAATCTTTAGGGAATATTTTCTATTTAAAAATATTTTTTAAAAATATTTTTGAAGGACAAATGTTAATTAACCCTTGGAATTAGAATGCAAGTCTAGGTCTGTCTGCACAATAGACAGTAGGGTCCTAGTTTGCTCTCATCTCAGCCTCTCTTCTATGAACACAGGTAACGAACAGAGAGAAACATATAACTGTCTAGGCCAAATATGCATTTTTCGATTTGACCATGATCTTTTTACTTAAAAAAATCTAGACTATTTCAGAAAACCTTTGTAATAGTCTTAGCTCACTTGCTCTGGATTACAACAGAGCTTTCAGTAGCTGGGTGCTGCAAACGCCTTTATTTAAGGCTACAGAGAGACGTTCACTGGAGATTCAAGGCACAGCCAGTTCTGTCAACTGATTTACAAAATCCAAGCCAAGGTACCACCGACAGATCTAATTTTAATAGTGTTTCTTCAGTGCCTCAAGCCCAAACACAGACTTCATATTGAAAAGGCAAGCATCTTTCATGCCTCTCAGAAAAGCAGAAGAACATGTGCTGCTTCAGAGATGGGAATTTTCAGCCCTCACAAGTTTCCTACGAGGCAGACATCTGACTTCCAATATCCCCGGCTTAAAGCAAGTGGGCAGGCTGGAAGTATCACATGTTACATTCAATGCACCACAGAGAATTCTTACTACTCTCTGCTGTGAGCAGCTCTGTATTCTGGGTGAATATATAGCACCACAGTGACAGCTGTGCCCTAAAAAAGTATGTCTGCACTGGGTTCAGAGTAAATACTACTTAGCCAGAGCTCTGGGAGGCAGTGTACAAAGTGCAGCTGCTGTACCACCTTGAGAACTGCACATGTTCCCATCCAAGGCCTCTTAGCTCCACTCCAAGTGGGGGAGAGATAGGGATCAGGCAGCATTTGAGTGGATGAGTGTTAAAATACTAATGAGAATGCTTGTATAAACAGATGGATGGACACAGCCTTCCTACCCCCAAGGAACTGCTAGTTTACAAGGCAGACAAAAATACAAAGAAAGGCCTATACAACTGAGATGTTAATATGGCAGCCTGCAGCATTAGCCAGGGCCTCTTCTTTGTCCAGGACTCCAGCTATGCCTGACCTCAACCCTAAAATCAACAACTTATATTTTCTGCTTTTCATTTAAGAACAATGTTTCAGAGAATCAAATATTCACTAGCACTAGAAATAGGCAAAAGCACAAGGAACAAACACACTCTCCTCTTCAAGATCTCTGGAATAGAAGAAATTATTAAAAGAAAATGTTCCT